GGGGGGGGGTGCTTCGCACAGGGCAGTGCAGAGGACTCGATTGGAGCTCATAGGAGGCATACGGCCAAAGCCCACTCACTGTGTGCCTGTCCTGCCGGGAAGGCTTTCTTTGATTATTTCAGAAGTTGGAAGCCTCTGAAACATCCCTTCCTGATGCCATGCAAAACCTACACACATTTCTGAGGTGATACAGCCTAGCTTCTAGCATGGTTATTCATTCTAATTGTCGATTTTACCTCATGGCTTAGAACTCATTTTGTTCTTGGACTGCTCTAAGCTTTTGAGATGTATGAGAAAAAATAGCAGAGGCTTTATTTACATGAGTTAAACGAAATACACACACACAAAACCCCAGAACATTATTCCAAAAATTTATTTAAAAATACTAATGGTCACATAGAAAACACTCCAAGTATGTTGCTCACAACCCACTAGCTTTCTTTAAGCTCTATTCAAACCTAGCTCTTAGGCTGGAAGCTCTATCACTTCCCTAGGAAAACAGCAATGCAGACTTACAGGGCTGAGCCATTCGTTTAGTGTTCATGTTCAGAGTTATCGAAGAGAAGGGTTCCAGGCTGCCAGGGTGGCTTGTCTGAAAGTTGGGTGGAAACGCGCCAAGAGAAACAGAAGCTCACCTTTCTGGGGTCTGATGATGAAAGACTGCGAGGCCCCATTCACCAGCCGGCAGTACCCATCGATCAAGTCAGCCATGTTCTCGGCAATAGTCAGGGACGGTGCTGTCACTGTCAGAGGCTAAAAGGGGAAGAGACCAGGAGAGAGCTACTATTGTTCTCCGCAGTAACCAAAGGGACAGCTGCGTGTGACATCAGCTCCAGATGCCCGTGGAAACAGGAGCGTGGGAGCAACACAAGGCTTGTCATAAGGTTTGAATGAAAAAGGAAGTTTGATATTTAAGACACTATTCCTAGACTATAACAGAAGGCACACCCAGACAAAAATGGAAAAATCACTTACACTGAGACTCACTTTCTAGAATAAAAGGAGATGAAAAAAGTATTTTCTTTCAGAATGACTGGTCCCTCTGGCATGCTCTAATTGAAGAATCTAGATAGCCAGTAAGTTAAAGTAGGGCTTATTTTAGAAACTAGACTAGCATGGAATAAATTTTTATCAACCATCCTTCATAACTTTTCTAAATGAAAGAAAATTAATAAATAGCATTATTTTCAGCATGCACAGCATGTTCTGCCTAAGAGCTTAGAAACGACTCTTTCCAACAGAAAACATACACTTTTGATAAGCTTCCTAACGACCTATCATTGAGTGTTATCCAGGAGATAACCAAAGCTGTATTTTACTTTCAAATACAATTTGTGCTAATTCACGTAGTATTTATGAACTTGCCTCACCTGCATTATCCTATTGTTATCTGGGAGAAAAGCAAAAAGAAAGGGCCGTGTGAAAATGACAGCCTAAAAAGAACATTCCTGAGCTATTTGCAGGAAATGTCCATTTACGATAAGGTTTTAGTATTTTATGGTGTCATTTAACACCAAGAATCAAATGCATTTCCCAGAGTCTCAGAGACGCCACGACCCCAAGGAGAAAAGAACAAGGAAAGGTGAGAGAAGTATTGCAGGTGAGCCTGCTCGAGAAGGGGCTGCCATGGGACCTGGCGCTGTGCTGCAGGGGAGTGGATAAGCACCTAACACACTTCTGCACATGCACAACCGTGTTTGCCACCAGCCAGCCAGACTCTATCACGTGCGTGTCCTCTGTCTGTCTTCAGGAAAGGTCACCCTATGCAGTACTTGCCAGGTGCTAAGTTCTCGTGCCACATCTGTCTTTAGTGCACTGCATGGCATGCTGATTTGAGAACCCAGGGTCTGGGGCCAGACAACGTGGTGTGGAAAATAACACAGTTTACAGATATATGTATTTTTATGTAATTTTAAGAAGCTGATTTCCTTGGTAATTCGCATTAATCTTCAATCATCTTCACAATAATGCTCTTGACTGATTTTTAAATCTGTTCCCTGTTCTACTCTTGGGGGCATTGAATCATGATTATTTATAATGTAACATTGCTGATGATTCATGAAAACCTCATCCTAAAAACATCATTTGTAAAATGTCCCTCTGCTTTCATCTCCCCCATGATGGCTATGAGAGTTCGTACCTCCGGCGCGCCTGCTATTTTTAGCTGTAGCATTCCTTTTCTGTCCTTGTCTTCACTGTTTGAATACTGAATGGTCTGTACTTGATTGAAGTCAGCCAGATGTGTGGGCTTTGGGAAGAAAAGGCACAAACTGTGGACCACAGATGAAAGACTATCTTCACGCATTCCGTTCTCAATCCCACCCCATTCCCCTCTCCTGAAGACCCTCCCTAAGACGGTGTCTGGGGGAAATAGACTGTCCCAGCAGCTCCTGGGGGGAGGGAGTCCTCTTTTTGAGCTGTAGTGGAGCCACAGGAAATGGTCTTCTCAATGCAGGGCTGGGGATGTGCCTGCTCCTTGTGCTCCTGATGGCCAAGGAGAGGCACTGCACCAAGGAGCTGGCCAAGGGGCACCACAGGTACCAGAGCAAGGAGACAGAGAGAGACAAAGGAAGTAGAAGGGAGTCTCTGACTTGGCTCCTCACCAGGTGGGGGCGGGGGGGGGG